AAGGCTCGGGGTGTGGCCCCCTAGGAAAACCACCTGCTCCGGTTTGGGCATCCGGGCAGTATCACAGCCCACGCACAAATATAATGAAAATGATGATATTTACTGAAAACTCTATTTTCGCATCGATTTACAGTCAAACAACTCACATTATTATTATTTTTTATTATGTCATTTATTCACTCTTTTATTCCTACTTTATGTATCCTCATTTTTCGACTCATACAGCAGCTCGCCTATGGCGGAAATTCGGTTCTATCTAAACGTTTTTGATTCACTGCCTGGTTGAAAATTGTGTGCTACCACCAAGTACGAATACTGAATCAGTTTTTCTGAAACCACGTGCACCATTCAAACTGGCTGCCTTCAATGTTCGCACACTTATGCAGGTCGGACAACAGATAGGGCTGGCTATGTCTTTGGAAAGTCTTAATATCGACGTTTGTTGAGGGACTTGTTGGTCGCAGGACAGATAACGGGGGCCGTCTACTACAACTGTGTACAGACCACAACCTGTTTCTGGCTATCACTAACTTTCGGCACAGTCATCGCCGATGTGCCACCTGGCGTCCTTCCTCTGCATCTCAAGCCTGGACTCAGATTGATCACATCGCGATCAGCTACCGCTGGCGTGGTTGTGTACAAGACTGCCGCTTCTTTTTGGAGTACCTATCTGGACTCTGATGATGTCTTGGTCTGCGCCAATCTTACCTTACTTTCCAGTGGCCAACGAAGTGACCGCCACCAAAGAATTGATGTCAGCATGTTGGTTGCAACTTCTGTTGCTAGTAAGTACCGAACCGAGCTAGCTTCTAGGCTAGCTGCCATTCAACCGAAAAGTATAGATGAGCATTGGTTGCAACTTCACGACGCCATGAATATGGCGAGTAAAGCCGCTTGTGGCCTCGCGAAACGTCCCGTTTATATGCACTGGGTTTCTTCTGGTTCCTTACAACTCATTGAAGCCCGTCGGTCTACTCCGAGCAACCGTAAGTTTGACCACAAACGAAGACTGTTACGTAATGAAATTGAGCAAAGCTTGCGTAAGGACCGAGAAGCCCGGTGGTCGGAGCGTGCTAATGAGCTGGAAGCAGCAGCTGCATCTGGTAAGTATGCGGATGATATTGTCTTACTGTGCGATAATGCCCAAGACATGCAATCCGCACTTAATCAGTTGGAAATCAATGTCCGTAGGTACGGTATGTGCTTTGCATCTTCGAAGTGCAAAGTACTTCTACAATACTGGCAGGACCCTGATCCTGCACTCACCCTGGATGGTGAGCAGGCAGAAGTAGTCGATAAGTTCGTGTATCTAGTTAGCTGTATAAGTGCTGCTGGTGGCGTGAGTGATGAGATCAATTCACGTGTAATGAAAGCCAGAGCGGCTTATGCCAATCTGGGCCATCTTTGGCGCCTTCGTGATGTTAGTCTGGCTGTTAAAGTTCGGATCTACAACGCGTCGATGAGAGCAGTTTTGCTCCTTGCTTGTGAAACCTGACCTCTCTGAGTTAAGGATGTCAGACGACTCTGTGTTTGATAATCACTATCTCTGAAGGATTGCTGGTATCCAGATGCAACACCATGTCAGTAATGCAGAGTTTTGACACCATGTGCTCGGGCGCACAGACGATAATGCAATTGGCGTCACCATCTTGAAACACTGACTTCGGTGGCTTGAACACGTACTACGAATGTCGCCCCAGAGAATTCCTCGTCATGCATTATTTGCCGACTCTGGGACTGGTTGGAAAAAGCGGAGAGGTGGTCAGTGCATGACATGGTGTCGTGGGATGAAAGAAAGCTACAAAGGACTGGTTTCTGTTGGTCCTTCACGACTCCCTGGCTGGGGTCCTAGAGATGGTGCAACACAGTGGCTAGAGACGTTGTGAGATATGGCCCAGAATAGAAGCCAGTGGCGATCCTGCTGTAACCTTCTTCATAAAAAGTGGTTGTATCTTCTTTAACTTAAAGATTTCTTCTGGTTATATCCTTCCGTTTCCCCCACTATTATTATTGTTATTATTACACTTCCTTACACTAATCTAGTCGTTATTGTTCCTCTTTTTTTTCTCCTCATTTTCATTGTTTTGTGTGGTGCATATATATCTGGTACCCCTTGTACCAATATTTATGTGTTCAAATAAATAAATAAATAATGGTTTAATTATCTCATATCCAATCCTCTAGTGGTAGGATGGCAAGTGCGAATTTTAGTTTCCTCTATTATTTCACTGATATCTATCAAAAGGATTGTTATGTATGATCAGCAATTTGGATTTTACAAACGTTTCAAGACTTAAATATTTATGAACAGGTCTAAGCTAGTGTAACACTAACTTCTTATTTCTGACTAGCTTTTGTTGACCAAACTATTACGTGTTATTTCATCTTTAAGTAGATAGTAAATTACAAATCAGCCTGTAAATATTCATTGAATGATAAAATCATATTATGTGAGTTCGGTTCTGTGCTAATTGTTCGGTAAGTGATTTGGGAATTATGTATGAACACCTTTAAGTTATGAAGACATGTAAAATCACAAATCAAAATGAAGATTTAGAAATGTACACAACTTATTGTTCTGATTTCAGTTTGCTTAGCTATCTCACCCTTAAACATATCAGTGGTCAAACGCAGGATCCTAAGTTTGTCGGGTGTGCGTTTACTCTGTAGACCACTGAGATTTCTTCACTACAAAAACCAAGAAATCGGTAGTGAATCGACTCATAAAAAGGCTGTTGAGTTGAAAATTGAGAACTACTGATACGCTAAATTCCAGTCATATTGATATGTATAGTTTTCAGGTAACAGCAAAAGCATTAGTTACTGACTGAAGAAAAGTGACATACAACGGATTCTGAATTGGTTGTCATTCAAGAATACAGGATATTAAGAGGCTTTTTAAGACAAACAAAGAACTGCTGGTAACAGGTCAAGAAAAGGACGAGGTTGTTGGTCTATTGTTGTTCAGTAGTAGTTTAAACGTTATAAAATGGCGAGTTCATTCTGGTTCGTGAAAAATGTATGTCCATATTACCATGTAGTTCATTAGAAAAAATACATCGTCTATTGATAAACCTCTTCACTTATTTACAAATGTAAATCTTCAACACCACTTGTCGCGAGATGAATTTTCAATAGAAGACTCCGTCAACCGTTTAATTTTGAGACATTTAAATTTAGGGACAATAAGGTGCACTCTTTCATAGATGATGATTGGAGTACTCAAAATACGCATTCATTTTACCAGATTTTAAAGTGTAAGATAATGTTCAAGATCAATATAATATATATGTTTTAACCACCAACATGTGAATGCTGGTGGTTAGCAGAAAATCAAATAGGAATTGGAAAGATTGTTAATATGAAAACAATATTTATTTGAAAATTGGTTAAAATAAGACATTCATAAGGAGGACTGGTGGGAATTTCTCGTTAAAATTTTCTATTATAATAATTCCAATATGGAGAAAATATCAAGGACATTGTTGTCAACGTATTTCGTAAACTACATTGCATTCAAACTAATATTTGTCGCTTATTTTATGCTACTTATCCAATTTATAAGTAGAGTCAATCGCCCTGTTTAATAAAATCAACGACCTAATCTATCAGTTCGAAGACATAACAATAAAGATATGGTAGCAAATACGAGAGAGGGAGGCAACCTACACTCAGAGAATCCTTATGTATGTATCAGGAAGTACTGGCGCAGTAGACATGGGCTGAATGGTATGCATGTAATGTGTGAGAGACGGTCTGGTGCAGCAAATACCTTTCTAAGGAAAGTGGTCAACATCTACCCTACCAAGTGGGTCAATATACCTATATGTATGTTATGGGATGCATTTGTTAAAACCTGTGTGTTACAGGTCTGCATGGAACGCATACTCGCTCACAGGGAAGGTATACCTGTATATATACGAAAAAATACTCAGATAGAAGTTTGTTTGCTACCTAGTATGTATGTAGACTAAACCTATCCAAGGTAAATAAGAACTTCAAGCATCATTTACTTGGTCTTCTTACGATACACATGCACGTAAAGATATGTGTGGCCGCGGTTCCCCACAAAATCACATCTAGGCAGTGAGTTTGTGAGCCTTGAGAGCATGGAATCCATTCCAGAAGGGACGACTGAGGCCTCACTCGAAAAGGCTTTATTTACCAATCTGGTTGGAACACTGCACCACACTGTATCAGGATGAATTGTATTTAGATTAGCGCATAAATTGCGAGATTTCACTAATTGTTTAGAATATCATGGTTTTAAAAAGTAAACTATTGATACTTTCTTTTAGTTTATCACTGATAGAAACAAAGAAGTTGACTTACAAATATCGCAAAGAATGTACCGAGCATTAAAGCTTAAGTAGTTAATAAAGCGGATTTGCTTCGTATATTTGGTATTTCCCACGAATATCTCAGAGCAAGTTTAAAATAAATATGTACAGGGCGCATAGTGAATTGTGACGTTACAAAATCGATTAAACTGGATGAATAACGCGATCCCGTTTTGTATTTTATACATATTTAGTAAAACAGTTGGCTGGTCAAGTGCACCGAAATCTTAATCAGTGATTCTCATAACCTGTATTATCATCAGAAATCTTGGCTTAAATCACCGAACTCAACAACTTAAAAATACTATCAATTCAAACTTATTGACTCTATTATTTTAGAGACCATGAGAGTGGATGGTACTCATAAACTGAAGTTGAAACAGAAGCTTCCCAGTAAGCTCATTATTTAAGTGTGAATCAAAGTGTGTCACCCAATAATGAGAGATACATTGTTCAGAGCTCCAAATACAAAATGCTACTTATTCGTAAACGACTTTGGAAGTAACGGCGGATAACTATCGATGAAATATAGTGAAGCTCCATATTTTTTGCAATGGGAGCCAAGATTATTCGATTTAAATTCCTTCTGGTTTTTAAAATCGTATTATTGTATGAGAACCAGTAATAATAAACGAGTCAAAATCATAATTTATCGATGATACTCTAGAAAACCTTTTCTTCAGTGAAAACAAAAGTCAGTTTACCAATAAATAATAAATTAGCAGTTTTTGTTCCGTAAATACAGTGTAATATGTACAGTAATGCATAAAATTCAGGAGAAAATGTATAAATATATTTATACATACAAAAATAGATGCATAAATTTGCATACTGATAGGCTGGAGAACAAATGAATCCGACAATTCTGACTTATTCAGGCTCCAATAATATGTAAGGATGTTCATCCCAAAACTGATCTTTAATGATATCGATATTGGCTTGTTCAATGGTAGACTGTTTTCAAAATGTTGGAGAAAAAATGTGGTAGTAACAATCAACTCTGTCACACATTTTAGATAAAAAGAATGTACTATGATACAAAAGGGAAGTAAGTGAGAAGACCATGACAGGTAATTATTGACGTAGACAATTCAGATGACAGTTTACCAGCAGCTCAGTCTGGTTAACATTATTCAAGTGAAGAGTTTTCAACTAAATTGACGCCTTTCTTTTATACGCTATTACAGATATTGACAATAAGGTGTCCGTATGGAGATAGTCGAGAATAAATCCTGAATCTAGATTTCGTACTACAGATCACTTGCCAGCAAGGTGTGCCTGTAATCTTGATGGCACTGATGCTCCCTGGTGGGTTCGATTTCGTGTTATCCATTTTCAGTCAGAGACGTCACTGAGATATTCGGATCGCAACTGACCCATGGTAGGACTGAGATGCATTTACAACTGATCGATAACTGAGTAGTAATCAATGTCATGTATACCAAGTCCTTCTTACCGTCGACCGGATTCTATAGAGTTACATGGAGTAATGCCGAAATCACAACCTAACATAGAATTTGATATGCACCAGGAAAGACTTAGCATAAATAGCATTGGTCACTACTTAGAGATTAATCGATTACAAAGACTACGACAATGACTTTTGACCGATAGAATCATTTGTAAAAAATATCAATTTGAAAAATTCAGCTTAAGTTGGATATCACTAATGAGGACTTGAAGAAAGGTGAATATTTGTTCGATACATTTACAATCAACCTGCCTGTTTTCTTTCGAATGAAATGATCATGAACATCAGTTAAACAGTGCCTAATTATGAAGATCAACATAATAGAAATCACATCAATCAAGGCGATTCGTTAGTGAATAAAATAGTGGTTTTATTTTTAAAGTTAAGTTTATCTGTGACCGACAATAGTTATATGGAACAACCCTCAGCCAATTCCATTGATAAGCACGGACTTCCATCTCTGAAAATGTCTGAATTTGGCTAGTTAGAATCCGCCTCTTTCTCATCTAGTTATTTACAAATACGACGACTTTTCTAAGTTTGAAACTAAGTGTCATTGTTGTTTCTCTAAACTCAGCCTCTTTGATGAACTTAAATCGCCTCTGCAACATTAGCTTATGCCACTGACTTCATTCGCGCCTTTTGTTGTTAGTCTCTGAAGACCAGATTTTTGTCAGTAATCAATTGTAATGCTTTTGCTTATTGCCGTTTTCGCAGTCCTCAGAAACAGGTTTCAGAACATTCATGAATTCGGTAGAAGTTTCCAAAATCAAATGATACTTACCAACAAATTATTCTTAATTAATAACACATGTGTCATACCAGACTTCGAGTTTTACCAGGCTACCTCAAGATAAATACATCCATCGTTTCGTGATACAGTATCTCTGAACGAAGGATAGTTATAACGAGTCACAGTCTGTCCGGATAGAGACACAAAGATCATACAACCGAATGGTTCGAATACGTTCGTACATTAAGTATTGTGTGTTTGTACATAAACAGTAGGATTTATCTTAATTGCAGTGGAATATTCTACTTATCCTAAAGTGTAACCATTATGTTTCTAAGGTCTACATCAATGATATATATCTATATATATATATGCCACGCGGTGATTCCTATTACACTGAATCGTTGAAAATATTATTAATTAATAAGCACAAATCATCCCGTCAAGAAATAAAACTACCACAGATTGTATAACCAACTAATAAATCACTCTGATATTGAGTTAATGGTCAAAACAATGAATCCTAACAGTTTTCTCATTAATATCATGCAGATGAGGGGATAAGAGCAAGTTAATTAATTATTTATAAAAATAAAAACTTTATATTTCAACTTACATTATTTCTAAATAATACAGTGCCTTTGCGAAATAGTTCTGGTTCATTGTTATAATTACAGTTGAATTGTGAAAACAATAACTCATTTTTGTCACTTGATAACGTTCCCTGTAACAGATAAATCAATAGTATATATACAGCAATGGGACTTAATGAGTTTTTGACATGATGGCATATTGCTTGTTTCGATGTCCATCAGGAGCATCAAACAGATAGGACATAACAAAACACCTATTTTATAGACCTTATAGGCCATTCTAATAACAAGTCATGGTTAGAACTAATTACAACCGAAAAAAGTAAAGTGTTACTAGTTTCTTCATGATTTATATTTTCATCCTTGACCAATAAATTCCTAATCTGGTTTTGGTGGAATATTTTGTATTGTCATAGGTTCTACCCTGTGTAAGGTTTGAAGTGCACAATTTCGAGGAATCCCATCTGTCCAACAAATCTTGGTCTCACTCAAGCAAATCAGCTGAAATCAGTCTATAATCTATCTTCAATTTAAAACAATCTTCTCCAATTTGTTATTTTACTGTCTAAAATTCTTTAAGAAGTATTGTGTTTAATAAACTGGTTTGTTTAGTCAGGGAAATTTGATTGTTTTTATATCCGAAAAAACACATCATCTTTATAATCCCTATCTTGAACAATAATTATTCTTCATTATTTAAAATGTGTTTACTAGACATTCCCAAATTCTAATCTCCTGAATCCTTCTTGTCTCTTTTTTTCTCTTTCCAAATTTATTTCACTGGATTATACTTTTTAAATAACATCTTCAAACCCTAATCTTTCCAATTACTGCTTATACTCTTACCGCCTCTATCACTACGGGATTTGAGTCGACAACTGCATCTCTGTGCTAATGTGGTGTTGCAACTCGAACTGATGTACGTACGAAGTTCTACGTTGTTACTGACTGACATTCAGAGATCTTTATACATATTAATTGCATCATTTCAATTACTCCAGTAATTTTAAAAAAATCAACTGATTTGCTGGATAATAAAAATCACATAAATACCAAGTAATTGTAATGTTACATTAATAACAAATGTTCTAAGAATTTACATTTTCGTGATCACGATCACCTCGCAGTATGACTAATCAAAAATCTGGTGAAAAAAATTAAACAGCTCGATAATAGCCCATTTAATGCAAACTGGTCATAGTGCCAGTATAAACTAATCCTTTTCAATTATTTATCGAGTCAGTAATATTTTGTCAAAGCTTTACAAATTTAAAGTCCTTCAAACGACTGAAGCTATGCGTACAAAAGGAATATCTTCAACCGCTTCTGTTTCTATGATCAAGCTTAAGGCCAATTAATTCATAGTAATCTTAGTTACTGAATGACCTAATTTGGCTACTGTACTTACGACCTTTCGTAGTCAAATATAATTGTCAGAAGGGGTTTGTGGAGATTTTAGAAATTTCACAGATTGAAATCATGAGTCAGTTGAAGCTAGATCACCATGGAAAACCTGGAGGCACTGGACGGCCGTTTCGTCCTAGTATGGGACTCATGAGCATTGTGCATCCACGATCCCGCACCCCGTAGGATTCGAACCCCGGACCTACTGGTTTCGCGCGCGAGCACTTAACCATACTAGTACGAAACGGCCGTCCAGTGCTTCCAGGTTTTCCATGGTGGTCTAGCTTCAACCGACTCATGATTTCAATCTGTGAAATATAATTGTCTCTGTTATATTTATTCACAAATCCTTCTATTATTATTATTATTATTACTGGTTAAGCATAATTATTAATCTTCCCAATAAATGATTCATTTACTTCGTATTCATTTCACCTTATTATGTCTTACTAATAATTTTTTACACAATTTAGTCTTCCATTAAACAGTTGATCGAATTGTAATTGCGTTATTATTTCTCACATTCTATCTGACCCATTATTTATTCTGATCATGGATCATAAAATGTTCACTTAACATATAAGCTGATCTAAGTTAATATTCTATATGAGTCACATATCAACAATTTTATTCTATTTTATTTGACAATCCTAAATTCACATGTTATAATAACTTGAATTGATGCATTTTACCCTCAATCTAACCATTTTATAGATTATTAATTAAGATATACAATTGTAGAACCTGAAGACAATTTATCTTCTTTTACATTCTTCATTCAAATATTAATCTTTGTATATGATAGAGATCGTTAAACAATTAAAATGGTAATTTTTTTTGTTTTTAAATTTATGCAAAATACTCATTAATTAAACATCATTCACAATTACAAATTTATGCGCATTTTTTGTTGTTGTTGTTGTTGTCTATTTACGTTCTAATAACACAAGTTTTGAATAGATGTTCTATTGATTAATGAATGAATGATATGTGATTAAGTTTATCTGCGATTTTGATATCAGTAATTGAATAAGTTAAGAGTAACATTATTATACACTCCACCCTCTTTTTAAAAAAAAATCAATACAAAAAACCTGATTAAATTTACATAAAGAAAAAAAAACAAAGTGATTTGTATTTAAACGTCATTGATTTTTTTTTCAAAATTTATTTCTTTACAGTCTATGAAAACAAATTAAGAAGTGTAAATTAAATTTGAATAGAAATGATAATATTTAAAACTAAATAACTAAATAAATCATTAAATTGATAGATTTCTTGAATTGAACTGATTTAGATCATCATTGAAAGTCTGGAAACATTGGATAGCCGTTTCATCCTAATATGGAACTCCTCAGAAGTGGGCATTCATGATCCTATACTAAAAACACTCTAACGCAGGACCTTCGGTCTCTCATGAGAACAATTAACCTCTAGACCACTGAGCTAGCTGGTATCCAACGATGTTAATATCTAACTTAAACTAATCCATGATATTGCGTGACTATCCACCATTGTCTTCAGTGAATAACTGTCTCACAACAGACACGGTTGAACTTCACGACTTCCCACCAGATCTTCAGGAAATCTATTTTGAAGCCCGTCACTAGTGAGCACATGATTATTATTATTATTAGAATGGGGGTTTGTGGAGATTGTAGACTGAAGGTCTTGGGTTCGAGTCCCATGTGTGGGATCGTGGATGTGTACTGCTGAGGAGTCTCGTATTAGGATGAAATAGCCGTCCACTGATTCTAGATTTTCAATGATCGTCTAGCTTTAATCGACTCATAAATCCAACTATTAACATTACTACAATCTCCACAAACCCCTATTCTGGTGATAGATTTCTGTTGCTTTAATTATGAAGTGAAAATTTTTTGATTTCAAATATTAGTTTACAAGTTCAAGTATCGCATCTCTCATCTATTTCAATTTTGACAGTGAGGTAATATCGCTAGACCTCATCATACTAAGAATGTGGTTCAAAGCCAAATACACAAATATGTACATGGTAAATCAGTTAGGAAAATACACCCGGCGATAAACATTTGACTGAGAGTCAGAAAACATGATAATAAAAGCAACACTAATAATTATTAATATAAGGTTGTGAAGATTGTTGAATTTCTAGTTTATACACGATGAGTGTACTATTACACTGAATAAAAGAACTAACGATTTTATCCGTTTTAATATGGATTGTAATGATATTCAATCATTTCATGAATTAATGCCATCCAACGAATTATTTACACGAATTTTATGCAAAGTCAACGATGGAATATTAAGATAGAACATCGTTTAGTATGAGTAAAGTATACTTCAATCCTCCATTTTACCAGAAACATTCATTCCTAAGCTCTATCGGATAAAAAAAAGTTGCCTCAAGTGACTCATCACAAAACTAACATGATGATTTTAAGTAATGAAACTTACTGATTGTCTTGTAGAAACTAAAAATAACGATAAATTGACTAGTAATTTATATTTGTTTCACTGAGTAACGAGAATATCATAAAGCTACAAACAGTCTATACCAGTTAGAAAAACTTATTTATTTAGTGGAAATACATTTTTAAATAAACATGAAAACGATGTATAAAAATGTTGATAGGCCAGGATAGATTAGTTCAAGGACAAATAAAATAATGATTTAGCATATTAGATATCAGCAAATTGAAGTGCTCAATTTCAATCTAGTTACTTCCTGTCGAAAATGAACATCAATGATCAAATCTATATGTAAGACTTTCATGTTATCTGATATCAGCAGTCATGCTTTTTAGGTATGTTGTAAAATACAACAACCTGTCTTACCGTCAACTCCTTCACATAAACATAACCAATAGAGGCCATAGTTTATTTGAGCTGATTGTTTGGTAAAAAACTTTCGCTGATAAAACTTGATGATGCGATTATTTTATGGAAATTAAAAATCGTCAAGCACACTGTACTGTTATTCCTGAGTGCATAAACATGGTGAGATAGGTGTTATGATCTGCACTTCGGTCACAACCTACAATGAATATTGCCTAAACAATTTGCTTAATTGAACGATCTAATCATAGAACGATAATTAAGTGAAATGTTTACTCTAACATGAAAGATAACATCTGTTCTGTATATAGATTATGAAACTGACAAATAATTTAATGAGTTTCTAACTGATAGATAACAAATGAACAGGACAGGATTTAACAAGTTACACTGTATCTCAGGATTCTATGGTAAGTCATACATAAGCTTCGGTGAAATAATAGATCATCCATCTAATCGAGGTCATGATCAATCTCATAAGTTCATGTCAAAATCAATCTGTTTAGCAATAAATACAATACCAGCTCTAAATTTATTTTACTCAATAATGTAACCGCTTCCAACCCAATATATCGTTTCCTTCTTATTGATTACCTTCGTCAATAGTTAATAGTTAAATCACACTTTAGGTGGTAACGCATTAATCGATAAACTAACCATTTGACGATAAATGCTAAAAATAATTGTAAACGTTATAGAAACAACTTTCTCTTAAATTATTTTGTAAAAGAAGAAAATTCCAGGGTACGTTATAAACTGTTTACATATAATAAATGTGGTATTAATGAACACATTGATCCATTATCTATCACATTTCGGAATAACTATGATAGATTATTACTGAAGTTCATTTATTAAATGACAGAAAGTTGTGTAGAATGTACTTATAGCTCAATTTTAACAATCA